ATGGGTGATCCTGGTTTCCTTGCATTTCTTTTTTGTAACAAATAAACCTAAAGTTCTGCTGTCCTGGAGGGAATGAGTGAGCAGAATAAAGGGCCTATTTGTCAGTTTTTAATCTGCTTTTTTGCATTGTTTCTACAAAAACACTTTCCTCAAACAGAATTTAAAGTTATTATCTTGATGAACTCAATTTATCCATGCAAGATCATCTTCTTGTGCTGTATCTGGTAATTCTGTTTCTTTCAGGGTCACTGTCACTGTCACTGTCCTCCCAGTGTTCATCGATTTGCTCGAGCGGGCCCAGTAGCGTCTCCATTTTGAGACTTGTTGTTACTGTGTTTGGCGTATTGAATACGTCACGGGGAGCTTGCCATGCTTTGCCCTGCGGGTCAGATACTCTCAGTAGCTTGCTGGCCTCTCCAAGAGGGGAGGAGGAATCAAACCTGGCTCGGCCAGGCTGGTTGCACAGAAGGCAAACGCCCTACTGCTGAGCTATTGCTCCCACCGTTTTCAGGGTCATTGTTCCAAAATACTTGTTTATAGTTCAATAGAAAAGCTTTGGACTCAAGCCTGCACATGTAACTTAATTTCAGTTACATGTCAGAAATGCAGAATTCGTTTGGGGCTGAAGTAATAGTACAGTGGGTAGGGAGTTTGTCTTGCACAAGACTGACGGGTTTGATTCCTGGCATCACATTTACCCTGAGCACTGCCAGGAATAACTCCTGAGCATTTCTGGATATGACCTAAAAAGCCAAAAATAAAAAGAATTACAGAATCTATTTAATAGACTATTTTAAATGTATAATTATTATCAAATAATATTCTCTAGAATAGAACGGGTATGAAGCATGTAACCTTAATGAACATTTTCTATCAAGTGATGTATATTGTATACTATTTAAAGATTCTTGAAAGGAGATGAGTTCTAAAAATGATTCTGTAGTTCTGGCTTGCAAATAAAGCATGGGTATTTATATCTTTATTTATTGGTGTTTGGGCCCCCCCTGGCTGTGCTCAGGTCATACTCGTTCTGCATTCAGGGATCACACAGGCTCAGGGAACTATATAGGGTGCTGGAAGTTGAATCTGGGTAAGCTGATTCATGGCAAGCATTTCACTCACTGTTCTATCTCTCAGAGCCCTAAGTATGGCTAATAAATAAGTGATTTTTATTTGTTTCTAGTAAATTGTTAGCTGCTAAATGAACCTGTTTTTCTTGTTTTGACTCTGGCATTTAGACGAAGGGCCTTTGAGCAGTTATCAGGCATATCCCTTTACCTATGCCCTTCACCTCCCTACACACGATTGTAGCAAACTCCAATCATTGACCTATCCTACTGGCCCCTGCTTACCCTTATGCAGTATTCTATACCTGTCCTTCTCCTTTTGACTCATTTCACTCGACATGATACTCTCCATGTCCATCCATTTATAAGCAAATGTCTTGACTTCATTCTTTCCAACAGCTGCATAGTATTCCATTGTATGGATGTACCATATTTCTTTATCCAGTCATCTGTTCTTGCGCATTCGGTTTGTTTCTAGATTCTGGCTATTGTGAATAGTGCTGCAATGAACAACGAAGGGCAGATGACATTTCTGATGTGTGTTTTGGGACCGCCCCCAGGGCATATCCCCAGAAGTGGTTTTGCTAGATAAAATGGAAGCTCAAATTCTAGCTTTTTTGAGGAATGTCCACAGTGTTTTCCAAAAATGTTGAACAAGTCAGCATTCCCACCAACAACGAAGGAGAGTCCCTTTCTCCCCACATACATGCCAGCACTGGTTGCTCCCTTGTTCTTTTGGATGTGTGCCAGTCTCTGTGGTGTGAGATGAAATCTCAATGTTTAGATTTGCATCTCCCTGATGATTAGTGATGTAGAGCATTCTTTCATGTGCCGTTTGGCCATTCGTATTTCTTTTTTGTGTTCTTAGAGTTTTGTTGATTCTTATTGGTCCTGTTTTAAACTTCTTTGTAGAGAGTGTTGAAATGTATTAACTAATTCTCTAAAGTATACCAGAAAATACTAGCAAAAACATTGAAAAACAATAGTGAGTCCCCATTTTCTATTTTGAGGGCTCATGTTTACAGAGAAAATTGAGTCATAAAATTAATGAACAAAGTTGTCAATGTGAACAAAAATGCACATTTTTATTAATATTTGACAAATTTATCTTAGTTATTTTTATCACTGCATATAAATAAAATTGAATATACAATATAATAAAGTATTAGTTTTTTTATACCAGTAGATACATGCAGTTATTTTCTTAATTCTGTTATTAACCTTCAACAAACACAAAATTATGTTTCAGATGTAAGCAATTAAAATCATGCAAAGAAAAATTAAATCAATGCCAAATCTAAATTAGAAAGCTATTAAAATGAATCTCAAAAGATTTATTCCTGCTTCCTAGATACTGAGTCAAAAACTCATACAAGTAAAATGAAATGTAGTTTTGCAGAAAAAGTCAGAGAAATAAGTAGTGACTTTTTATTCTAAAGTACTTTATAACTGCAAACACACTGTAAACATTGTCCTCCCATTGTTCATTGATTTGCTCGAGCGGAACCAGTAACATCTCCTTTGTGAGACTTGTTATTGTGTTTGGCATATTGAATACGTCACGGGTAGCTTGCCAGGTTTTGCCGTGGGGTCGAGATACTCTCTAGCTTGCCGGGTTCTCCAAGAGGGGTGGAGGAATCAAACCAGGCTCGGCTGGGCTGGCTGCACTCAAGGCAAATGCCCTACAGCGGTGTTATTGCTCCTATCAAATGTCATGCAGGTATATTCCTTCTAACTTCTTTTAATGAACACAGTATAACATCTTTGTTCTGTATTTCTTTTTTTAATTCAAATCCACCACTTCTTGATATCTGTCTCACAAATATAACATTACTTTTAAAAATATATTCAAATGTATGCTCTTTACAGCATGAAATACAGTAGCAGGCATATGAAAACAGCCCAAATTTCCAATGACAGATGAATCAAGAGGCTGCATTATATATAGATAATAGAATACTGTGTAGCTATTAGAAATGATAAAATATTACAGTTTTCTAAAATGTGCATGGAATTGTAAAGATAAATCTCAGAGTGAGCACAAGGACTGAATGAAGTCATTTGTGATCTATCAAGCAACAAAAAAATGGAATAGACTGTATCATACAATGACAATTCTTGATTTCTTGATCTTTGATTTCAAAACTGAGACTACCAACGTGTGTGTGTGTGTGTGTGTGTGTGTGTGTGTGTGTGTTTGAAGGGAGAAAGGACAGAAGGTAGGAAGGTGATGGGTTGAAGAAGTGGACTAGAAATAATATCAATGAATTTATGGATGGTTTAGGACATTTTGATAATAGTGAAGTTTGATAGCTTTATACAAAAAGTTTTGTGTGTGTGTGTGTGTAATTGTGTTTCCTACCAGGCATTTCAATGATAGACTTATCCTTGTGTGCTTATTTAGGTTGATTTTCAACTTTGTTAAGGTATCTCTTGAAAATCTAAGACATTTATCAAGATTTTCTAATTTGATCAAATTCGACCTCAAAACAACAAGCAAAAAAACAGCATCAAAATCCAAATCTTACACTTTTAAAAAATAATTCCATAATATACAACCTCTCTAGTAGCTAATATGAAATGCTTATAGCAGATGATCCTTTTGTTCTTGACAAAATATAATTAAGGGATGTACAGATAGTACAACCAACAGTACTGTCTCTCCCAAGTCCTCGGGAATGAGCCTTGGACATAGGACTGACCACAAGAATTGGGGCAGAAACTTGGGTGTAACTTTTCTCTCTGCAATTTAGAAAAGCAAGCAAAAATTCAGCCTGTTTATAAAATCATTCTGATAATAGGCAACTTATCCATGCATGTATCATTTAACATTTATATAAAAAAAATCCCATCATTTTCCATAGTACTGGTAGGTTGTTAATTAGTCATAGTTGGGGATAAACATCATTAGTGTGTACTTATGCATTTTAATCTATTTTTTTGCAAAATTATCAAAACTTAGTTTTAATTTTATCTTTTTACACTTTTGCTAAACAGTTTGTAAAAGGTTATCTCTGGACCTGACAAGTAATATGCATGTCATTAGCTGTGTGAGAATTGAGGTGTGAGATTCCAACATTTGGTGATAGAATGTATTATTTATAGTTTATTAATGTGATTTGTAATCTAAAACACTTTGGGATGTAAGTTTGGGATATACCTAGGGATATAACTTGACAAGAGACACATGTATTGGGAAGGGTCCAAAATTGTTTGATTATAGGTTTTTTTAATATTACATATCTACACATATCAGACATAAGACAGCCATTATCCCAGAGGTAAGTACTCTGACCAGAATTTTTAACTTTTAATCTTATAATAGAGATATAATAGCATGTTTAAGTTAGAAACATACATTTACCAACTTTATATGTAATAATAAAAATTAAATTTAATGATGCTACTTATAAAAATTCTGCTGTTTGCTGGAAAAACTTTGTCCAAAACAAAAGTTAGTGTGTTTGTTTGATATTCTACAAAAATATTACAACTATGTCCAAAATGTTATCAAGTTAAGTTCAATATATTTTTACCAACAAGCAGTTGTCTGACAAAAATAATGCAAGTATTTCAAATACAAATGACAATTTATATTAGTTCACAGTCTGTACCACTGATATAATTGGATTTATATGTAATGCGTTGGTGAACCTTGATATTTAAATTTTTCCATTAGTGCAAGTAGAAAACAATACTATATTGCCCGTTAAATCAATTAATACAAATTGAAGGTAATTTAGGTAAATAGAAGGAATTTGATATTATTCTGCAAGAAATATCATTACCTGTGCCCTTTGTGAATATTGGGGCATTCCATTTACGAATTACTTTCTAATTTAAGGTATTTCTATTATTTAAAATATAATACTATTCAGTGCTTCTACAAATAAATATACATCTATAATAAGTGTGTCATTTCTTGTCTTTCAGGCAATACAGCCAAAGTGTATATAGAGATTCAGGACGAAAATGATCATCCCCCAGTATTTCAAAAAAAATTCTATATTGGAGGTGTATCTGAAGATGCAAGAATGTTTGCTTCTGTGCTCAGAGTTAAGGTAAGAGAAAAATGTATTAAGATCTAAAATAGAACTCAGATTTCCTTTAGTACTCATTCGTACTGATTAAAAAGAATCTAGTTAAGAGATACTAGTGCTCACCTTGCAGGTAGTGGAACCCAGTTTAGACCCTAGCACTAAATCAACCTTTGGCCACCTCCAGAGGTGATTTTTGAGTGCAAACTGGAATAGCCCCTAAGCCCCAGTGAGTGTGGCTCCAACCTCACTCAAAAATTAATGAATTTTCCCTAGCGACAGTAGTGTGGTGAAAAACTTACCTTGCACACAGCTGAGCAGATCTGATCCCCACACCATATATGCTCTCCTACCCAGCCCCCTAAGAGGGATCCTTTAGCACAGAGCCAGGAAGAAACCCTGAGCACTACTGGGAGTGACCCCAGAAACAAATAAATAAATCTGGAGAAATGCGAGCCTAATTATCCAAGTTATATGTATACATATTAATTAGGAGACAGATATAAACAACTTTTTGAGTCTTTAATACAAAAATAGGATGTAACTATTTTACCTTTAATTCAATGATATATGGTATATATTTTGCCAGTAGATGTTTTTCTCTGCCTTTAATAACATGTTTGATTCAGTGAGTTTCTAATGGCAAATGTAAAGCTACAATTTTCAAATGGAAAGGATAATAAATTCTGTTAATATTTTTTCTGGAAGCATGTGTGTGTTAATATTTTTTCTGGAAGCATGTGTGTCTATGTGTGGGTGCACATTCGTGTGCCACACCAGGCTGTGTTTAGGATTACTCCTGTCTGAGTTTAGAGATCACTCTGGGGTGATTGGGGGATACCACATGTTGTACAAGGGATCATACCTAGATCAGCTACATCCAGACATGCACCTCACCTACTGTACAATCTCTCAACACAGGACAGTATTTTCTGTTTTGTATTTTATAATATTAAATTATAATAGAACATAAATTTCAGGTGGGTATCATTTAAAAACCAGAATAATGTATAGCACATTATGCTCTTGAGTGAAAATTCAGTCCCATTCTTCATCATGCAACTGATCTTATTTACTTAATTTAACCACTATCTTTCTCCCTTTCTTTTTGAAAACTACTAATTGGTTTTATAGAATAAATTTTTTTTTAATTTAGGTTATTTGTTTGCTTTAACGAGTTGCACATATGAGTGAAATAGTAGTGTGCTAATTTTTCATATGACTGAGCTTAATACCCTCAATTACTCCATATTGTTTCATGTTTTATATTTTCATAGCTAAGTAATAGTCAAATATACCTCAATTATACATTACATAAGCAATGTATATTGATAGATTTTAATTATTTATTATCTCCAGTAAAATAGAGGCCAAATGGACAATGTGTAATATGACTTTATATTGGTTTAAATGATGGGTCAATAAGTTCAATTAGGAAAGAACAAATTCAAGGGATTTAAAAGTAAAAGGTACTTCAATGGATTTAAATTTATTTCTTCCTGGAGTGTAAAGAATTTGAACAGTATAGCACACATAACCTAAGCAGAAGCAGCAAAGTTAGTCCAAACCCCAAGGAAACAAAGGACAGGGCCTGGAAGTTCGCCTTGCACGTGAATGACGCAGGTTCGATCCCCAACAGCCTAGATGGTCCCTGGAGTCCACCAATAGTAATTTCTGAGTGCAAAGCCAGAAGTAACCTCTGAGTATCTCCAGATATTACCCCGAAAGCCAAAACAGTAAAAAAAAAAAATGAAGAATAAAGAAACGGGCTGGAGGGCTGGAGTGATAGCACAGCGGTAGGGTGTTTGCCTTGCACGCAGCCAACATGGCCGACTCGTGTTCGATTCCTCCGTCCCTCTCGGAGAGCCCGGCAAGCTACCGAGAGTATCTCGCCCGCACGGCAGAGCCTGGCAAGCTCCCTGTGATGTATTCGATATGCCAGACACAGTAACAACAAAGTCTCCAATGGAGATGTTACTGGGCCCGCTCAAGCAAATCGATGAACAATGGGAGGGCCTTTACCTTTAATAAAGAAACAAACTGCAGAGCGTTTTTGTCAAACTTGATAGGAGACAGAGACCTATGGGCATTAGAGTAATAATTCTTAAGTAGAGAGAGCCCTGAAATCATTTCTTTTTTAAATGTAATCAGAATTAAAGTGAGTTAAGTAGTAATTTTCAATACATACTTACTAAAGCAAAAAATGTTCCTGGGTGTAGCATTGATTTTTGGCCAGACAAGCTCTGGTGCTTGACGGAAAAGTGAATTAAAAAATAAGGAAATGCTCCAAAATCGTTGAAGAGGGTTTTCCACTTCTTACGATGCTAAATTCTTGGATTTCATATACCATACTAGCATGCCAATGTTTTTACTTCTTCACAGAATGTACAAGTGTAATTTTAAACATAAAAAATACTTTGTATACTAAAAATACTTTGTGGAAAAGGAAATATACAGAATTAAACAGCAAGATATGATTAAAATATGTGAACGATACTATATTTACTAGTTTAAAATATGAATAGTAAATTAAGTACTTTATATGAACTATGTCTCTAGAAAGGCAATTCAATATGAGCATTGCTGAAATGAATCATCTTTCAAAAGTGATACAAAATGAAAGTTCCAAGTATGTGTACTCTTAAATTCACTTGTCTAACTCAGGCTTTCCTAGGTTTTTGTTGTTGCTGTTATTTTAGGAAAGATATAGTCTCTTAGTGATGTATGCAGAAAATATAGAAGCAACAAACAATAGACTATTGATATCTTAGAGAGTTAATATCACAAGATAATATTAAGTTCAATTTCAAAGTTTAAAAGAAGACTGACTTATATAGATATGGTTTATGGCTAGCATTTTAAATGTTCATGCTTTTTAAAAAATTTTTACTAGTGAGACACCGTGAGGTACAGTTGTAAACTTACAAATTTTGTGCTTGGGTTTCAATTATACAATGATCAAATACCCATCCCTCCACCAGAGCCCATTTCATGCCATTTTAAACTTTCTTTTTTCGTGATAGTGTCAAAGGATACAAAATAATTACTTTGTAAAGATGTGCATCCACTACATTTATATGTTGATATATCTATCACACTGGTTTCACCAAATTGTTTTTATTATTCCTAGTAATCAGTCCTCTTAATTATAGAAAGGGAAAAAGTGGGTTTTGTCATAGCCTCTGACACGTAAGCTGTGAGCTGTTTCTTTTATTTTCTTTTATCTCAGATGATCTCAGCTATTATTTTTTAATATAATATCTAATCCTTCCTCTGTCTCTTTGGTTTCTGAAATGCCTATAGCATTTTCCCCTAAATTGTGTGTATTATGCTTTTCATAATATTTATGCTTGTAATGGCTTTTATAACTTTCCACAGTATCCATTCTATTCTGTTTTCCTCAGATATAGTATCTCTGTTAATAATGGCTTCCTGCTTTTTATTTTTGTTTTGTTTTGTTTTGTTTAGGGTCTACTGATAGTGGTGCTCAGAGCCTGCTCCTGTCTCTGTGCTCAGAGATCTCTCCTGGCAATGTTTGGGAACTCTAAGCAGTGCCAGAAATTGAACTCGGGTCGGCATACAAGGCAAACACCTTAGCATACAAGGCAAACACCTTAATGTCTGTATAATCTGTTTGGACCTAGAGTATTTAAATCTTGTGCACAGCTCTTTTCGCATATTGGAATTGCTTTTATGAGTTTAACTGAAACTTTCTAAGTTTTGTTATGATGGCTCTTCTAAGTTGTAGTCCTCATAATGTGTCTATATTCTGAAAATTTATAATTTTCTTCAAGGAATTCTATCATACTTTTATAATGGTAGACTGATAATTTTTATTGCTGCATTAAAATCTAGCTTAAATTACTGATTTTATTTTCCTGAAGATTATGACAGTAGTTTTACTGCCAAAATTCTTATTTACGTATATGATTGGTGTTAAAGACAAAAATAGCAAAGAAATAAATATCTGAGTTGATCACAGTATTGCCGGTTGCACTGGGGACACGGGAACAAGAGAAAACCCAATAAAGGAAGGGTTCCTCGTTCGCCCTCAATCTCCATGGCCAGACTAGATCTGGTCCATTCAAAAGTGCCTCAAAAATGTGGACTTCATCACTATTTTTAGAAATTTGAAGCTGTTCAAAAGTTAGCCTTCAGAACTGTTCATTCTTTTTAAGTTGCCTTCAATGTGCATCTTACATCTGGATTCTCAAATCGAAGTTTCTGCCAGTCTACTGGGTTTTGTGCCTGTGTTTTTTTATTTTAAACCCCTAGTGAGTCATAATTGATGACAGTAACAGTTGTGACAGTTGGTATAAGCTAATCCTAAGAGGATATCTGCCACTTCTTCCTCTTCAAAGTGCAAAACAGGCTCTAGAGTGCTGGTATGTTTAAAATATCTCAACCAGAGCTTAGTACAACTGTCAGAGTTAGATCCTCAGCACCACATGCTCTTCTGAGTATTGTTGGGCATAGCCCTGGAGACCTTAAACACGGCGGGAGAGGCCCCGGTATCCTCTGAAATCAACAGTTTTCTTTCAGAAACCACATACCACAGGGTTTTAATAGCACCTTGAACTCAAGCCCTCCATCAAACTACCTGCCAACTGGGCTGATAAAACTGCCAGTGGGGTCCCTGTAACTTCTGGAGCATCATTTAGGAGATCTGCCCCCATCAAGTACATATGAGTCCCACAAACATGCTCATTTATGATGCTGGAGCAGTAATACAGCAGGTAGAGTGTCCGCCTTGCAAACTGCCAACCCAGGTTTTCATCCCTAGTACCCATGTGGTCTGTATCCCTCTAAAATAGTTCTTTTCACTATTCCCCTTTGTTGCCTTTCTGAGAACCATAAAAATATTTTAATTATTTTAGCCTCCAGAATTTATTTAGAATAAAAAATAAAACCAAAAAGCAAATAATTCAACAAAACCCATACCTATTGCCCCCTTGGAAGAAAATAAAGATTGGTAAGACAGAGTAACTCTCCAAGTATCACTTAGCTTGACGTATAAAATCACA